TGTTTTGCTGTAAATTTTGCGAGAACACTAATTTTTACAAGACTGGGACCTTAAAACAACTATCTATTCAATTGTCAACTTTTAACTTAAATATTGTTTCAAATCGTAGAAATAAATAATTGTCGATTTGATTATTAATCCTGGTAATTGAAATTACATACTTAAGTAACCTAATGAATTCAATAAAAAGTTATTGTTTAGTGAACTATTGACCAATCAAATCGTCGACCAATCAGAGCACACCTAAGTTACGTTTTCCTTATTGTATGAACGCGGGAATAGACTCACTTCAGTTTCCGCGCTCGTCGGCGTAGTTCTATTTTCCTGGTAAAGCTGTGTGATTATCATTTGTGAGTTTTTATAAAAAGAAGTGTAGAATAAAGTTATTGTGGTATAAAATTAAAAGTGTGTGATATTAGACCTTTTTCTTTGTGATTATTATTTGTGTGTTTTTATAACAAGAAGTGTAAAATAAAGTTATTCTGGTATAAAATTAAAAGTGTGTGATATTAGACCTTTTTCTTTGTGATTATTATTTGTGTGTTTTTATAACAAGAAGTGTAGAATAAAGTTATTCTGATATAAAATTAAAAGTGTGTGATATTAGACCTTTTACTTTGTGATTATTATTTGTGTGTTTTATAACAAGACGTGTAGAATAAAGTTATTCTGGTATAAAATTAAAAGTGTGTGATATTAGACCTTTTTCTTTGTGATTATTATTTGTGTGTTTTTATAACAAGAAGTGTAGAATAAAGTTATTCTGGTATAAAATTAAAAGTGTGTGATATTAGACCTATTTCTTTGTGATTATTATTTATGTGTTTTTATAACAAGAAGTGTAGAATAAAGTTATTCTGGTATAAAATTAAAAGTGTGTGATATTAGACCTTTTTCTTTGTGATTATTATTTGTGTGTTTTTATAACAAGAAGTGTAGAATAAAGTTATTGTGGTGTAAAATTAAAAGTGTGTGATCTTAGATCTACTGATGTGTATAATGGACATAATACACGGCAGCATGACTGAACCCTTGTCAAATGGGGACAGTGGTGCTGCCTCACCAAAAATCAACCCCGAGATATATTATATACATATATATATATATATATATATATATATATATATATATATATATATATATATATATATATGATTTCTTAAAAGCTTGCACGACGAGCTTACAAGCTTACACAGAAGATTGTCCATGGCAGTTGTACATAGTGTTGCGCGCCTAAGTTGACGTCCGGCACTAGCGCCATCTAGTATCGAATTGAAGAACTAAGCTTTCTAGAAGCCTCACACTCTAACTTTCTGCGTCTGGTCGGTCGGCGCCCGTATCTACGAGAATATTGCGGTGAAAAATGGGTATTTAAAGGCGCTGCATGCCGCGATCGGGACAGTATTGAATTTGGCGAGACAGCGAAGCTTCGGAGCGAAATAAAGTGAATCAGTGTGGTTAATTATTAGTGTTTTAAGTTTTAATTAGTGTAAAGTGAATTAAAGTGTAAATTTTGGTAATTCAATCGGCAGTTTTTATTGTCACGAACCCTAAGCTCGTAACAATTGGTGTCAGAAGTGGGATAAAATCATGCCGATTTTACCTAAGGAGGAAACGGAGGGTGTCCGTACCCGAAGTCAACGCTAGCAGGAGACGGACCAAAGAAGATTTAGTGGTGGTGGTCGGAGGGCCAGCCACCGGCTGCAGGCCCGTCAGTAGCTCCTAGATCTGCAGCACCCGACTTAGGTGCTCTGATGGTGATGCTACAGGAACAGGCTCGTCGACAGGAGGGACAGGTAGCGTGAAGGACCTTCACGCTACCTTCGGAAAAGAGATACGGGAGGTGAACCATAAGGTTGCTCAACATGACAACCGCCTGTCGGAAGCTGAAACCCGAATCGATCAAGTAAACAATCGAGTTGACAACGTAATGGCTGACATGAAGAAATCACTGGACGAACTCAAACTTGGAGATGGAACTACAGCTCCCGTAGTAGCTACAACAACTTCGCTACGTGGGTTCAAGTTCAAGGTGCCACCGTTCGACGGGACTTCTTCCTAAAAGTGAGGCCATGACTGCTCTCACACTAGGCCTGCACGACTAGGCCTTAACAGTTCTGGAAGCTCCTGTGAGGAAGTGACTTATGAGCAACTCCTTGAGGCATTGGAGGCGAGATATGGCGATGCTCACCTGGAACACGTCTTTCGTGCGCAGCTTAAAGATCGCGTGCAGCGCATCAACGAAAACCTGCAGCAGTGGGCTCTAGAGGTGGAGAAGCTGGTGCGAAAAGCATACCGGTCTGTACCTGCGCTCATTGAAGGGAACCTAGTGCAGACATTCATCGACGGCATCCGCGACCTGGAAGTCAGAGCTGCTGTGAGGCTCGGGCACCACGAGACGCTTAAGGACGCCTTGGCCCATGCACTGGAGGTGGAAGCCGTGCGGCAGGATCATCGTTCCCATCGCGTCAGGGAGGTTGCAGCAGCTACAGTTCGCGACCGCAACAAAGGATACAGCCCTAGGTGCTATGGCTGTGGGGGGGGGGGAAGGGGCCATCTTCGATCCAGCTGCCCTAAGCGAACCCTAGGAAAGAAAGGTGAAAGATCTCGAGAGAGTAGTGCAGCTAACGGCACCGCCTGGCGGCGGCAGGATCATCGTTCCCTCCACGTTAGGGAGGTTGCAGCAGTTACGGTTCGCGACTACAATAAAAATTACAGCCCAAGGTACGGCTGTAGAGAAAGGGGCCATCTTCGATCCAGCTGCCTTAAGCGATCTGTAAAAAGGGAAATTGATCGATCTCGAGAGGGTTGTGCGGCTAACAGCACCACCCAGCAGCAGGAATACGACTTTGTGATTGAACACCGCAGCGGGAAATCGCATGGCAACGCAGATGCATTGTCAAGGAGACCTTGTCCTGAAGATTGCAAGCACTGTACTAGGCAAGAGAGTAAGGAAGTGGTATCCGTGAGGATGCTCAGGACAGACCACCTCAGCAACGAGTGGAAGGACAGCTTACAACATGCACAGCAGGAAGATCCGGACATCAAGCCGATTCTGGAATGCATGAAGGGCAGTACTCCCAAGCCCAAGTGGAGCGACGTCTCAGCGATGAGTTCGAACACTAAAAGCTATTGGGCCCAATGGGACAGCTTGCTGCTTCAGGATGGAGTTCTGTACCGTAAATGGGAAAATGTTCGGGGAGACAGCTGTCATTTGCAAATGGTTGTCCCTAAAGCTAAAGTACCGGATGTTCTACAGCTCTTGATGATGATTGTTCAGGAGGCCATCTGGGAGTTAAACGAACTCTACTGAAAATCCGAGAACGGTTGTACTGGGTTCACTGTCGAACCATGTCGAGGACTGGTGTCACAAATGTACAAGTTGTGCATTGTGCGGCTGTAAAGGGACCTCAGACTCGTAGTAGAGGTGTATTGAAGTTGTACCATGTTGGTGCACCATGGGAGAGAATAGTCATTGACGTGGCGGGGCCGTTTTCGGAGAGTGAAAGCGGTAACAAGTATTTCATGGTTGTGATGGATTACTTCACTAAGTCGTCATTCCAAATCAAGAAGCTTGAACATTTGCGGATAAACTAGTTCATGAAGTCTTCTGTCGTTTTGGAGGACCTTTAGAGATTCACAGCGATCAAGTAAGGAATTTTGAGTTTCAAATATTCCAGGAAACTTGCCGAGTTATGGGTACTCATAAAACAAGAACGACTTCTTATCACCCGCAAACTGCTGGAATGGTAGAACGATTTAATCAGACATTGGAGAGGTATCTAGCAAAAGTTGTAGACAATCGGCAACGAGATTGGGACAAGCACATACAACCGTTTTTGTTGTCATATCGAAGCGCTGTTCACGAAAGTACAGCAGTGACACCAGCTTTCGCAAACTTTGGAAGAGAATTACGGCTGCCTGCAGACCTGATCACCGGGATACCACCTGATGCCCCACGCAGTATAACCGATTATGCAAATGACTTGCGGAACAAAATGAATGACATTTATGAGCACGTCAGACAATCGGGCCAGCAAATGTCTGAAAAGATGAAAACCCGGTATGACCGCAAAATGAACAACAAAGGATTCGACGAAGGTTCACTAGTGTGGTTGCACAATCCAGTCCGCAGCAAAGGGAAATCTCCTAAGCTTCAAGCTAAGTGGGACGGCCCGTACCAGATTGTGACCAGGATCAACGATGTAACCTACCGGATACAGAAAGGCGCAAGAGGGATTCCTAAGATAGCGCTGGCGCGTTATTATGGGGCCGATAATGCTCGGGACGAGCATGTTTTAGGAGGGGGCAGTGTTGCGCGCCTAAGTTGACGTCTGGTAACAGAGCGATGAGAGCTTTCCAGAAAATGACATGACTAATCTTTTAACCATCAGCACCATCTAGTATCGAATTGAAGAACTAAGCTTTCTAGAAGCCTCGCACTCGAACTTTCTGCGTCTGGTCGGTCGGCGCCCGTATCTACGGGAATATTCTGGATGTTGCGGTGAAAAATGGGTATTTAAAGGCGCTGCAAGCCGCGATCGGGGCAGTATTGAATTAGCGATACGAGCGAAGCTTTCTGAGTGAAATAAAGTGAACAAAAGTGTTAAGTGTGAATAATTATTAGTGTGATTTAAGTTTTAATTGGTGTTCAGTAATTAAAGTGTCAATTTTGGGAATTCAATCGGCAGTTTTTATTGTCACGAACCTCAAGCTCGTAACAATAGGTTTGGTTCAGTACGTCTCTAAAAAGGCTTCCATCATCTAAAAAATCTGGATCGTACCGGTACTGGTGGTATGGTCCAGATCGTAGGACCAGGCATCATATAAGCAAATAATTTCAGCATCTGTATTATATGTTGAATTTGTAGACTGTCGTACCAACATTATTCCAAATGTTTCTAATATAAAAGCTGGATTTTTTGAAAATTTCTTAGACCCTGAGATTATACAGACATACGGTAATAATTTTAAATTTTATGTGATTTTATTTGAACCAGGCTCTCCATTTCAATGTTTGGTGCCGGCTGATCGTTTAGCCGGAATCAACACAATAGACAGACCTTGCCGGCCAGCAGTGCGCTGTCAAGTTTTGGATCCTTACGACGAACCCGATGGCGTACTGGCCGACGCCGAATGTCGTCTGATTATTGGCGACCCGGCTTATACGTTCTGGAGCTACTTCGTACTGAGGTAATTTATTTAATACAAACAGACTCTTTTCTTCTTAAAACATTTAATATGTAGTACATTACGATACAAGGGACTTAAGTAACCGATTAATGAAGCGAAGCGAGTGCACTAATTTTACACGTTTTAATAATCGGTTACTCAAGTGCCGTGTACCGTACATTATTTTATAGTACAAGTGACTCAAATCCACGATAATTTGACTTTGATTCAAATTAAAGAAAACCATTATTATACAAAAATCAAACAATAATATTATTTCTGAGAATTCTTGAACTAAAATATCAACATCATGTCCGTATGAAGAAGTTTTGTTAGTAAATACAGAGAATGGAAAAGAAATAAATATTCAAGCTAAAAATGTACAAAAAATTTAAACGACTTTATGTCAATTATTTTTTTATATTTCTTGAACAATTATTCAATGTTTTGTTTGTAATTTAAAGATTTCTAATAGATGTTACTAATTAAAGTTCTATTGTTTTGTATTTATTATGACGTTTTAATAGATAATTAATTTTAATTAAAATTAAAAAATTAATTTTAACATAACATAAAAATTATGCATGAGTTAAGTAAAACATACCGTACAATAATCGGCTACTTAAGTCTCACAACTTGACCTTTAAGTCACCGTGTATAATAAATTATTTTTATTAATAATATTTCATATTATTGATGTTAGTATAACGTAACGAAGCTTATTTCAATTAATATTTATTATATATTCTTCAAAATAAAAATAGTTTGTGTCATTTTAGGTGTATAGCAGATATATGGCCAACTGCAGGATTGGCTTTACTTGGAGCTGCATGCGTTATAGCGACCAGGGAGACGTCACTCGGGCGAGGCGACGTTGGTCGCCAACTTGCTGTTGGCACCATTGGACTGGCCATTTTTCCGCCACTGGCTGGCTTTGCGGCCGAGCAAATGCCCGACACGCCATACCTAGTGCCGTTCCTTATGCATGCCCTGTTTATGTTGATCGGTGCACTAATTCTACTTATTGACGGGTTTGTATATTTTGCAGTTTCAATCGGTTTTGGTTAATTAATGAGGAATCGGACACTAGTGCTCAAAGAATTCTAGTACTGCGATCTGCATCACAAATATGGTGACTATGGTAGATCCAGACTTGTATATGATATTGCTATGTATTTTGACAATGTATCCAAACGATCATCCGATTATACCATATAAGCGTTATATCGGCGGCTTAGTTAGTACAAGTAAATGCTTGTCTATTACAAATACGCTGTATTACTGTGATCGTTCGCTGTCGATTAACATTCGATACCATTGGGAAGAAAATTGCCGTGGTTGAAATCGCCTGGAAAACATTTTTTTTTTTTTATAGATTAGGGTGACAAACGAGCACACAGTCCACCTGATGGTAAGTGGTCGCTGCGGCCCATGGACATCTACATCTATCCTCCATTACAAATCAAAATGCAGATGCGTCGTCACCCGTGAGGACTGAGATGGAATGCCTCGTTTCCAGTAAAAAGGGTCTCCGGTTCTCTACACTCACCATACGAAATACAGCAGCATTAAGCTACTATTTCACGCTGGTATTCTGTGAGAGCGTGGTCCTTCCCCGGTCGAGCCGACCCATTCGTGCTACAACTCTACTATTAATATAACTGCAGCATGGCTCTACCACGTATAAATGATCATCAGTTTCCGCTTATAATATGTCACAAGAATCTTGAGCGTTTTTCTTTACTTGTGTAGTAGCGATTTCTAGATTAGTCGATATGAGGCTTCGAGGCTGGGTATACGATAGGATTTACAGTCAGATTGATTCATTATTCACTCGACTGTTAATACTGACGCATGCCTCGTATTCATTTGAGATAAACAGTCATGAAGTGATTTAAAATTGAATACGTACTTTTGTTCCTTTAATATGTAGCAAGTGCGCAAGAAGTGTGACACTTGATTACTATATTATATGTGTACGTGTGTGCTAGTGAGCATACAACGATGTTTGTTTGTGTGTTTGTGTACGGGCGTGCATGTGAGTGAGTGTGTATAGATGTATGCGTGTGTATTTGTGTACGGATGCTTGCGTGCGAGTGAGCGTGAATAGATACATGCGTGTGTATTTGTATACGGGTGCGTGCGTGCAAGTGAGTGTATAGAAGCAAGCGTGTGTTTGTTTACGGGTGCGTGAGTGAGAGTGAGCATTTAATGTTGCATGTGTGTGTGTGTTTCTGTACGTGTAGGTCCGTGCGAGCGAGCGTACAAAGATGCATGCGAGTTTGGGTACGTGGGTGCATGCATAAGAGCGCGCGTGCGTAGATGCATGCGTGTGTATGTGTATGTGTATGATGCGTGCGTGCGAACGAGCGTGCAGAGATGCGTGCGTGTTTGTTTATTTACGTAGGTGCGTGTGTGCGAGCGAGCGTACAAAGAAACATGAGTGTGGGGTTGTGCACGTGTGCGTGCCTCTGAGCATAAGACCGGAGGCTTTTTTTTATTATCGGAGACCCTTTTCACTGGAAACGAGGCATTCCATCTTAGTCCTTAGGGGTGACAACGCATCTGCATGTTGACACTTAATCGAGGGTAAATGTGACTACCCACGGGCCACAGTATCTATTTATTATCAGGTGGATTGTGTGCACGTTTGTCACGTCTATTCCATAAAATAAATAGGAGCGTACGTATGAGTGCGCGGTGTGCGAATGCTACCGCGTAGCGGTGAGCGGGTGTTGTATTGCGTGCGTGTGCAGGGGCATGCCGCTGTCGCCGCCGGAGTGGTGGTGGCACACGGCGGGCGGCGCGCTGGCTGTGCCACTGAGCGCGGTACGGCGCTACGGCGCGGAGACGGCCGCGCTGTGCGCCGTGCTCGTGCTGCTCGGCGCGCTCTGGAGCGCCATCGATGCCTACCTGCCCTGGTCAGTACCCCACACACCCATAATTTATCCTAGAACTAATAACTTCTTCAGTATGTTACGGCACAATTCTTATTGTTGCCAAGATAATTAAGTTACCATGATCTACTTTAATCAAACAAGTGAGATGGCAAGGTATTAATATTTAAAATTGCACTGAAGTCCATGCTCTAGTGAAGTATGTTATTGCTTTAAGGAATTTAAATAAGACATCTTTTACGTGAGACAGTCGGAAGTATATTTTTCAGAGAAACGGGAACACATACGATTCACACGCGATGCGTAAGGTGAATTTTACACGCACGTGGAACCGTCTTCTAATTCACATTATTTTGATGTGATGACAATGCGGGTTTTCTAACTGCCAACTATGAATATTGTGCAGGTTAAGATATCCGTCCCTTTTGCACTGAGACTCTCAGTCCACAAAACTTTATGAAAAAGTCGGGATCTTGCCTATTTAGTTCCAGCCTTCGTCGGTAAAACAGCACTCGTTTTATCGAATCACCCTGAAGGAGAGTTTGCACTCTTTGAATGTGGTATGGGTGAAATTGATAACTTTTTTTTAAAAATACGATGAACCGATGATTTCGGTATTCCAGTGCGGCTTTGTATCATAGGAACCGAAGTCGAGGGACCCTCTTCGCGTTCCTGCAGCACGACGTCGTCCTCGATTATTCGCGGTCTCCCAGATTGAGGACCTCGAGGTCCAGGTATTCTACCATCCCTGTAGACAGAATCCAATCGTTCAATCACCTCATACGTCGGATGTCTACGGTCTGGATATGGTACGGTAGGATATCTACGGTACGGATACCGTTCCGCGTACAATCTTGTAGCCATCCTTGCGTTTAATGATACTATGCCTAGGGTAGGAACTTGCTTGGTTTCCCAAATCAAGAAAATTTTTCCATTATTAATACTTCACAAAAACAATCAGTTCAACAACAATCCAAGTAATAAAAATCATATATAATAAAAATATAAAAAACTATAACGTACTAAAAACAAAACCAACTACCAGAGTTGCCACCTCGAAAATTATCTTGTCACTAGATCCAGAGTTAGTTATGTCACCGTATTTTGGAAATTCGGATTTAAAAAAAAAACACCAGTTCTCGCAATTTTTTTTTCTAAAATAAAATTAAGTTATTTACATGTATAAGAATGTTTGAAATTAAAAAGAAGTTATTAAAAGTAGGGTTTTTCACCGACACGTTTCTTCATATATTGGAGCAAATCGGGTTGAATATTTTTTCTATACATTAAGAAATAAGTCATTAATTTTTATACTTTTTATCATTCTATCGGCACACCCATAAATATGTAATGTTAAAAAAGCTTCCAAATAAGAATCCAAAATAAAATTAGGAAAACAGACAATTTGATTTTTCGAAAAGAAAAAACTAAAAAAAACTATAAAATGACAGCGTCTGGGATTCCCCAACAATAGACTTAGTCCAGAAAGAGAAGGCTTTCAGTCTCAAATCAGTGCTTCCAAATACTAAATTGAAAAATCGTCAAAAATCGCTAAAATAAATAGTCGCTAAACGCTTAAAATATCGCTAAGAGCTCTGAAAAAGCACCAGATCTGGTGACAAAATCACCAAATGGCAACACTGCCAACTACCGAAGCTACTTGTGCGAGATTGAGATAGCACTGTCCTCCCTCTACTTACAGCTGTCTCGCTCAGTTTATGACCCAGGAATGGGTTGCTTAGGTGCTAAACACAAAGACTAAACAATATTCCTTTTCATTGCTTTTGAAAAAAGAATTCTATTCAATACCATAGTACTACAGCGCTACCTTCTAAGATACAAATGGTAATGTGTCCATGGCTACAAATAGCCACTTACGATTAGGTGGACTGCTAATTCGTTTGTTACTTTATTGTTATATAAAAAAGAGAAGTAGCATGTTGTGGTGTTTGCAGGACGGTGATGGAGCTGGACGGCACGCTGGTGCGCGTGGGCGCCACGCTGAGTGCGGGCGCGCTGCCGGCACTGGCCGCGCTCTGGTGGGCCGAGGCGCTGGTGGACTACGTCGGACATTCCAACCTCTTCATCACTGCCTTCATCTTCTACTGCCTCCGCTACACGGGTACGGCTTTACAGCTTGGGATAACGATATTTGAAACCTACTAGTTTACCATTCATTTTTACAATATTTCCCAACCTTCGTTATTCTTAAAGATTTGTATCTCTGTTTTCTGTTCCGATATATCGATGTTTTAGAAACATCGTTTTTTATTAAAAATTGTAGTGTTGTGGTGTTTTCAATTACAAATCATCGATGCATCGGTTTTGTTTAAGACTTGAAACAATGCCATCTATAATAAAATATAAATATGAATCTAACCTTGCCCTAAAATCCTCTCAGAAGTGAGAAGAAAACAGTAGTGGGACGTGTAGGTTATAATTTTCTTTTTAAGTATTTAAATCGTCGTGTTCATTATTTTCCCTAACAGGGAGCAGCGGATGTCATAACAGTTTTATATTAATTTATTTATTATGCAGGTTTGGCATTCAGTACGTCGTTCGCGTGGATAATTGTCTGTGAGCTACTGGAGGTGTTCACATTGAGCCTCGTGTGGGTGACTGCCATTCTGTACTTCCGACACCTTGTGCCGAGGAAGTACACGATCACGGGGCAGGCCCTTCCCGTCATCGCACATTTCTGTATTGGTAAGTTGATGAGAATATTTTATATATTTTATATATTTTTTTATAAATTTATAATTTGAAATGTGAATGTGACTATAAAGTACCGGAAATCATTATAACTATTTTTTCATTTACCGCTAATACCATCATATTCTCGCGTGTCAATCTAAAAGAAATGGTTTTAGATAGTGACAAGCACTATCCACATAAAAGACCAAAAAAAACCGAAGTCGGAGGGGAAAAACCCCCCCCTACTAGATGCATCATATTTGAATTTGAAGGGCTAGTTTCAGTCAAATAATGTAGAAATGAAGCCTATTATTTTGTCTTCTGATGCGCCTTTCAGAGTGTTATATGAAGTCCCTGTCGTTAAGTAATTTATTGTCTTGTCTAATACTGTTTAGTAGCACACTAAAATTTAGAGAGTAAACTTCGTAGACAACTAAGAACTCGTTCTCATTAGTCGGGTGTCGGGCGCCGTAATTCAATCGGGTGTCGGCGCCTCTATTCACACTAGTCGGTTGTCGGACCCGATTGAAGCTGGAGACATTTTTTAACAGTCTATGCGAGACAACTATACACGATGGACGCGAAGTTTTTGTTGTGATGAATTATTATTTTAGAAGACAACAAAGAAAAAAGCCAAAAAATAATAGAACCTTGTTCGTCCAACACGACGCTATAGGCGTAGTAAAAACAGAATAGTAGGCTATCTTCTAAGAAATGTACCGAACGCCGCTAATATGTGCCAGGCACGCAGGCTCATGACAGCACGTACACAGCGACACATACTAAGTCGGGAAGATCGGGCCGAGTCGGGGACGCCCACCGCCACGCTCCGAAATCACCTTTGTTTGAGATTTTGTTGTACTTATATAACTAAACGAGACGTCGGTCGGGGCCCGTATTTACTGGAATGTTCTGGATGTTTCGGTGGAAGAGCCCTATTTAAAGCCGTTGAAAGCCGCGCTCGTGACAGTACTGAATTGGCGATACAAGCGAAGCTTCGGAGCGAAATAAAGTGAACTAAAGTGTTAAGTGTGAATAATTATTAGTGTGATTTAAGTTTTAATTGGTGTTTTAAAGTGTTAATTTTGGTAATTCAATCGGTAGTTTTTATTGTCACGAACCCTAAGCTCGTAACACTACTATTCTGTTTTGTGTTGAAGTGTCTGTCTGTAATATTGAAATAACTAACTTCTATTAAGCTTGGGGGGTTATTTGAATGCTCCGTCCGATCGGGCTTTTCTTCGGAATGGCTTGAACTGATTGTGGTGAAACTTGACGAACAAATAGCGAGCTGCGTCAGAAGCCACCTTAAACTGTATTTTAATCGTAAAACTTGAATTTAAAAAAAATTAAATTTAACGTTAATGATTTCTTATATTTACGCGAATACTACATAACGAATAAAACTATTTCTACCACACCGTCACGGAGGAGCCATGTGTGCAGTAAAACACCCGAACGTCGGGAATCAAACAATAAAAACATTAATAGTCTTTGATTATCAAATTATCATTAATTTAATTAGTTACATATAATAGGTTACATATGAAATTGTTGTTTATTATTTTTATTGGATTAAGAATGGGTGAGTTAACCGTCAAATGCCTTTTGTACGCCGATGATCAAGTCACTCTAGCGTCGTCGGCGGCCGAGTTGCAAATGATGGTTACATTAATGAACGGATCATTAAAAGAAAGGGGTATGAAAGTGAACGCAAGTAAGACGAAGGTTATGGTTTTTGAAAGAGAAGAAAGTAAAACGATTTGTGAAATAAGAATAGAAGGGGAGTTGATCGAGCAAGTAGATGAGTTTGTATATTTGGGCTGCGTATTTATTACAGGGATGGGAGATATGATAAGGATATAGAACGACGAGGAAATAAGTAAATCCTTGCACTCTATTGTGAAGAGTCAAAATGTGTCGAAAAAGGCACGTATGGCAATTCACAATGCTGTGTTGGTCCCTACTTTAACGTATGGTAGTGAAAGTTGGGTGTGGCAGAAGAAGCACGAGAGTAGAATAAACGCAGTAGAAATGCGGTCGTTAAGGAGTATGTTAGGGCTGAATCTGAATGACAGGGTAAGAAATTGTGTAATAAGAGAAGAGTGTGGTTTGCAAGATGATGTTGTGACCAGGATTAAGAAAGGAATGCTTCGGTGGTTTGGTCATGTGGAAAGAATGAATGAGGAAAGAGTGACAAAGAAAATTTATGTTGCAGAAGTGAATGGCAGAGTCGGAAAGGGACGTCCTAGGCGAAAATTTATCGACCAAATTGGCGATTTATTGGAAACGGGCCAAATTAGGAGTACCCTTAACCGACGAGCATGTATGCGTAGGTGTATGGATGTGAAGGAGGCGAGAGAGGTGTGTCAGGATCGTGCCAAATGGAAATCTGTAGTCTCTGCCTACCCCTCTGGGTGACAGGCGTGAGTGTTTATTTTTATGGAAATTGTTGTTCTGCAGTACTGGTCATTTCAATCCAATATAATATTTTTTGCCTAAAAATTCTAATTTTAAATTAGATTTATTTTAAGGTCACGAAATTCTTTTTTCAAAATTAGTCATTTGTTTATTGATCACCGTTGTGTTTTCATCGCATTAGAAACTTTTTCGTCATCACGGATACGTTAAAAACTCTAGTAATTATGGAATATGAGTACCGTCACGGCAGTAACGCGGCACAAGCGGCACACAACATGAACTACGCTTGACGTTTAAAAAGCGGAAACTACAAACAAACGCACCACCTGTTATTGGTTTGCCCTGGAAATTTCGAACAGGAAAATGAAACCTGTGGTATTCCAAAAACTTTGTTCGACAATGACTAATTAAAGGCGATTGTGGAAGCTGATGATAATCAATCTACAGCTGAAATAGCAGCAGCTTTCGACGTTATCATTAAAACAATATCCGCCCATTTGCGCCAAATTGGCTAGATAAAAAAGCTTGACAAATGGGTACCCCACGAATTCAATGAGCGCCAGCGCGATGTATGGGTCGAGACGTGCCTTGGACTAAACAGGCTCATAAAAGAAAGAATTTTCAAACCGCAATAGTACCTGCAACGAAAAAGTAATTCTGTTTGACAATCACAAGCACTCAGCAACCTGGTTGGATTCTGGTTCTGTAATGTCTGGAGGTTCGGGGAATAAATAATACGTCTACTGGTCTTGAATGTAGGTTTATTGGCTGAATGTTTATTAGGCTATCATATATATATATATATATATATATATATATATATATATATATAAGCATACACTACACGCCCATCGGCAAAAAGAAAAAAAAATTGAATTACAAAAATTTTTTTCAATGAATTACAACTTGGTGTAAAAATCAAAAAAAAATTTACATTATTTTAAAATACCGTAATTTAAAAAAATGTAACTTTCTATCTCTGTATTAATTTTATTTAAACAATCATCAAATTCCTTACGTAATTGTATTGAATCTTTAAGTTTTTGTTGTGAAATAACATTACTGCATAACTTTTAAAATTTTCATATTATATAACTATTAATTCACTAGACTGAAAATACAGTTTTTAAAACAAAATTATAGTTGTCAAAAATATTAAAGGTGTTTACAATTTTTTTTATATTCTTAAACTTAAACTATATTATTCATTTTAAATCTTAACAAATCTATAAGAAGCTAATGCCATTGAAATAGTATCCTTACTTTTAAGTGGATAAACTTCAGCATACTTATTTAAATCACACTGTGAGTGTGTGAGTATATAAACATTACTAGCACTATGCTTACATAAGGGCCCTACTAAATCTAAATAAACTCTATGAAGAGTGGAATATTCCATAAATCGGTTATAACCATTGGTTCCTTTATATATTTATTTAAGTGTTTATATCGCAAACACTTGTCTCGTCGTGTTACTAATTATGTATATTATATAGTCTCTAACTCTGGTCAAAAGAACCTTTTCTTTGTATTGTTTATCATTCGCCTATACGCGCGTGACCGTTAGTTGGCAAAAAATGATAGTCGTTTAATATTACATGTTTTGTCACACGGCGGTCCTGGTGCAACATAATCAGAATTTTTAACATAACAACAGGGATCAAATACAACTTACAATCTCGGCCGCGTAAGCGGTTTGTGACACCTTTGTTTTAATTTCTAAGTATGTTCATGGGAACGTTTTTTCGATTACGTTGTTTAATGGTACCTAGTTTTAACCATGCATTAAAATTATATCGTAAATGAAATGAATTTAACTTTCCCAATAGTTTGTCACCAAACTATTGTGTGTTGTTTGTTTGTTCCCAAGTATTTTTTTTACATAGGTACATTAACAAAAAAATCATTAATTAAGTTATTTATAAATTCGAAAAATCATTTTTTCATGACATGAAATTTATATAAAAAAGAAAACACTACTAGGTACACAGCTTAAGTTTGTTGTATGATTGAAAAAGGCAATTTTATTACAAACAGATAACATCATTTTTGGCTCCGTTCTCGTTTCTAAAGAAAAAACGTAAAAAGAATACTATTACATTAATAAATTTATAATAATAGTGTATCGATATACTCTGGACTTTATTTTATAAGCAAAATATAAACCAAATATAGTAAATTACAAATTTTACATAAAAAACATATGACAAAAAAAATTCTATAAGATTTGTGCCTAAAATATGAAAAAAATATCTCGTAAATTCATATACAAATGTGGTTAAACAATTACGCACACAATAATACACACACAACATTTTTTCGCGTAGTTTTTTAAATCGATCCCTATAGTTATTACATGTGTAACTCGTTAGTCTCATTTTGGGTAGCATTAATAGTCCTAATCCTAATACAGAAATGCAAAATAACTACCTATCTCACCTTTAAATTATCATACATTTATCACACCTTTTGATTTGCTCGGAAATCCCCTTATAATCTTGTATTTTTGTCGATTAATAGGCCCTTTTTCCATAATTCTTGTACGTACTTTCTTTTATTTCTTCCTAATATTTTTGACCTTTAGCTAGCTCTCTTTCTCTCTATTCACTTATATGTTTATTTATTTATTAGATACCTGGTATCGGAGTATTAATTCATTTTATTTCGTGATTTTTATCACGAGGGTACTTTATAAATATGGGCCCCCCATTTATTTGGGTATTATATTACATTTTCGTAACATTCATTTCATTTTATTGGTACATAAACTTTTTTTTATATCAAGGTAAAATTTACCTTGGGTTGTGCGCACAACCTTGAGGTCTATGTTTTTTTAAGTCACTTTAAAAGGACTCCAACAATTGTCACAGAGGAAACTAAGTTCGCACCATGATCCAACGAAGGATGTGACCTCAATGTACCATTAATAAGGGTAACAAATTTAAGACTTCTCTGGTCCCTAACAGTACTAATATGAGTAAACTGTTACATCACTTTTACTGAAGGCGTTGTTCCCTAGTACCCGTTACTCCGATTTCATCGTTCAATCACGGAAACATACCCTGCTCGAGGACTATATGCTATACCAGTGATGAACGTTCCCGTATCTCTCCATCATTTATTTCTCATGGTCATCTTTTTTATTATCTTCGTAAATCTTTGTCTGTATCGGATACTTTTATATTCATTCAATCTCATTCCATCTCCTTTTAACTAAGCATATTGTTTTATTAACATAACCAGAGTTTGGGCCCTAAACATTGGCTAAGACAATATCCGATAGCCTAATTCCTTCATTCCAATAACTAGCAACATTTTGATATTAAAATTGCATAGTAAAATTTCCTATGTGAACACCATTGCGTATTTCAATTTAGATCTTCTCAACCAATATTCTTCTTATCCGGAGTGAAAAAGTCTCTCATCTTCTTTTATCCTTTTTGATGCCTCTTTGCCTTTTGATTTTATACTTATAATGATTTAATTTTATTTTATAAATATTTATTCAAAATGATATAACTTTTTGATGGCTGGCTCTACACGACCTCAATTAATTTCCTCAATCCGGGAATGTGTCATAATTTAATTAACAATTTCTTAATAAATATATCATAATTTTATTATCGGTGACCAGCCCGTGCACGCGGCGAGCGGAGTCGCGCGCGCATCGACTGGCAGGGTCGCCATGTAATGTCGGGAGGTTCGGGGAATAAATAATACGTCTACTGGTCTTGAATGTAGGTTTATTACTGACTGAATGTTTATTAAGCTATCATCAGGGTTGCTAATGCCAATGTATGTAATTCCCCAAAATTCCATATGAAATTCCCCAAATTTGGGGACAAAAATCTGCTGATTCCCCACAAATTCCCCTCAATATTATTTTAAACAATGAAACAAGTTTAACCTATTTAAATAATATTTATTTTTTAACCTTTGTTGCACTTTTTCCATACGTTTGATGCAAGCATTTTGTTGGAAGGATTAAACTTGGCACTGCCGCCCAATTTTTTTATACCCTCTCTTGTTGCCATTAAAGACACTACAGTACCTGTATTTAGCCGATTGCGATTTTCTGTTTTTAAACATCGAAGCGCACTAAATTTTCTTTCGACCGACGCGTTTGAAAATGGCAATATGAGCAACAAAGACATAACAATTTTTATGTTTGGAAACATGTATTCTCCCGCAGCATTTTTAAGGCGAAATACTTTACCCCAGTAACTTTCGGCATTGATGTTATCTCCATGAATTTCAAGCCCATGTTGCTCAAAATCTAACAAAGCGTGAGTTCGCCACTCATCTAATTTTTGTGCGGTCACAAATTTATAAAGCACTGGAAATCGCTTCAGCACAGGCACAAGTGATTTAATTAGAAACTGTTGAGCTTCTGATGGATTTACAGCGGATATAATAGAAAATAGAGGATCCCCAAAATCAAATCGCTTGGTAATATCTGACGTCAATTCAATATAAAACTCCTGGCAGGTTCTATAGAAATCTGCAATAGCAGCACGAGGTACATTTTCGTCATTTTTTAAAATTTCAATACTTTCTCCAGCCTTTAATCCAATATATATTTCGTTTAAACTTAGAAAATGTGTTGGGTTTTTGAAGTCTGCGTTTAAAATATTAGCACAGGACTTGATATAGCTAATTTTCATGAAATTAGGAGACAACGTTTTCAAAAGGTTTTCGACTTCTGGTTTCAATTTGTAAAGAAGGGAAGTTTCTGATTGAAACAAGACATTGAATTTTGTTACCAGTGCAAGTACGTAAGACATGAACTCCAAATATACCACAGTGAATTGGTTGTTCATTGTAATCAGCATTTCTTCGGTAGTCTTCGACGGATCTGAGAAGACTGTTTCTGTCAAGTAGGCTTTTAATGGAGTATACTGCTCTAAGACACGTTCTATACACGCTTTCAGCGAGAGCCATCGAGTTTGAGCTGGTGTGAGAATTTTGTGAATCTCCACTTGAAAGAATTCTTGAAACTCTCTAAATTTTAGTTGTCTTTGTGAACTTCTACTGAAGTGAGCTCCAACAGAACGCAAAAAATCTTCAACGTTTCGAGGCAATTTAAGACAAGCTTTAGATGATGATAGGTGTATCATGTGACAAGAACATTTCACCAGAGCAATGTGAGGCAAATCTTTTTTAAGAAGAGCAAAAACAGAGCAATGTTCTCCAACCATCACGTTTGTGGTATCTGAACTAAACCCTACCATGTTTTCTATCGATATGTTTTTATTTCGAAGCATTTGATGTAAACAGTCATACAGTCCCTTAGCAGTTCCTGATGACAATTCCACCATATCCAGAAACAAATGCTCTACCTTATTGGTGTTCTCATCATAGACAACAGCAGTAAAACAGCATTGTTTTAAAGAGCTCTGATCAGTCGTTTCATCCATTATTAATGAAAAGAAGATTTTTTCTCCGCGGAATTTTTCATATATATCCTCTAAAAATGTGTTTCCTAAAACATTATTTATTATAGCCGTCGCCTTGGTTCTGTGTAAATTCATATTTTTAGCTATAACTGAGTCTGCGAAAATTTCTTTGCAGAGTGGGCCCAAGATGTCGCTAAATGATATTGGTATATTATTTTCAGCCAACGCTCCGGCTAATTTTAGTTCAGCTTTTCGTACATTTATTTCTAAATCCATCACTGGCAAATAATTTGAAATTTTTGGAATATTCTGTATTTCTAATGATTTTTTCTTATGGCGATCTGAATTCATATGTCGAATCAGATCACTTGTATGCGCTATGGTCGACACCGAACAAAGCATACAGTGTGCTAAATCATTTCCATCTTTCATTTTCGAATCTTTGCATAGCCAGCTCAAGAAGTTTGGTTCTTGAAGCCATAAATCATTAAATTTATTCAGGCGTTTTATTTTTTTAGTTTGTGGATTATTTGACTCACTTGTTGCCAAGCCCACTGAAGTCAAACTGGAACTGGGAATGGGAACAGCATATTCTACTTCTATACTAGAAGTTGAAGCCTCTGATGTTTCCTTTTCGGGTTTCCTTTTACGTTCAAGCTAAAAACCAAAAATTAGGATAGTTATAATCACTGACTTTCTGACAGACGGTAACCTGCTAATGTTTCATGATCGCGCACAAATAAATAAAAAGGCTATTAATTACCTTACCTTAGGATTATCTTCTTTGTTTTGGCCTTTCATTAACCATTTATCCATATTTGTACAAGATAGTATCGTTACGGCTCGACAAAATACGTATTATAATATTATAATGTTAAGAAATTCACTATTTCACAAAACGTCAAAAGAAAGGGAATCCCCTAATCATAGTGTCGGTATACTTTCCGATATTTCTAGCTTTCATTCAATTTGGTTTATTGCAACCATAGATCAGAAAAAATATTAAGATTTTTGGCTTGGATGCTTGTCTTTTAAGCGATGTTTTCTTCTCATTCATACTCAAAAAGATAAGTGCAATAAAGAGTATTGAGTCCTCCGTTATCCATAAGTACCTAAATTAAAAAAAAATATTAAAGTATTTGGTATTTTCGAAAAAGTATATTAACGAAGATGTTAAAATCCCCGCATTTTCCCCGCAGTTTGGGGAATTCCCCACAAATCGGCAACCTTGACTATCATATAAATAATCAGACTGTTTCCAATTTACAATGGCTTGGATTGGAAACGTTACTTATTGTTAACGTACTCGCCAGACCTTGCGCCTACAGACTTCTACTTTTTCCAGAATTTGGATAACTTTTTGGCCGGAAAAAAGTTCAATACCTGAGAGGCAGTTGAAGAATTTGTTGCCTCCCATTCAGCTGGTTTCTTCAAGAAGGGCAATAATAAACTGCCACTGCGTTGGCAAAGATGCACCAATTGCATGGGTGGATTACTTTGATTTTTAGAAATAAAAAAATGTTGAAAAAAAAATTACGTGAACTTTTTCATAAAAATGGCTATTCCATATGTCCATATTCCAAAGACCTAATATGTGGGTGAAGCCGGGGCGGGTCGCTAGTTTTAGTAATAAAAAAAGTGAAGAAAATGTTGAATACATGTAAAGCAAACCCAACAGGGCGGTGTATTGGAGCGATAGTAGGCGGGCTGGTGGGGCTGGGGACGCCGCTGGCGGGTGCTCGTGACGTGTACCGCGGGCTAGGCGGCTCGGCGCTGGCGGTGGCCGGCGTCTACCTGGCGCTGTACCACCTGGTGCTGGCGCCGCGCTGCGCCGCGCCCACCGCCGCACCGCCCGCTGCGCTGCTACGAGGTAACTGCACACCATCTGTTGTTGCTGTGCTCATGTCCTGCAGCGGCACCTGGCGCTGTACCACCTGCTGCTGGCGCTGCGCTTCGCCGCGTTCGCCTCCGCGCTGCTGCGAGGTAACTGCACACCGTCTGTTGTTGCTGTGCTCATGTACTGCAGCGGCACCTGGCGCTGTACCACCTGATTCTGGCGCCGCCCGCCGCGCTGCTGCGAGGTAAATGCACACCGTCTGTTGTTGCTGTGCTCATGTACTGCAGCGACACCTGGCGCTGTACCACTTGCTTCTGGCGCCGCCCGCCGCGCTGCTGCGAGGTAAATGCACACAGTCTGTTGTTGCTGTGCTCATGTACTGCAGCGACACCTGGCGCTGTACCACCTGCTGCTGGCGCCGCCCGCCGCGCTGCTGCGAGGTAACTGCACACTGTCTGTTGTTGCTGTGCTCATGTATTGCAGTGGCACCTGGCGATGTACCACCTGCTGCTGGCGCTGCGCTGCGCCGTGTTCGCCGCCGCGCTGCTGCGAGGTAACTGCACACCGTCTGTTGTTGATGTGCTCATGTACTGCAGCGGCACCTGACGCTGTACCACCTACTGCTGGGGCCGCCCGCCGCGCTGCTGCGAGGTAACTGTACACCGTCTGTTGTTGCTATGCTCATGTACTGCAGTGGCACCTGGCGCTGTACCACCAGATGCTGGTGCCGCGCAGCGTCGCGCCCACCGCCGCGCCGCCCGCCGCGCTGCTGCGAGGTAACTGTACACCGTCTGTTATGATGTGCTCATGTACTGCAGTGGCACCTAGCGCTGTACCACCTGCTGCTAGCGTCGCGAAGCGTCGCGCCCGCTACCGTACCGCCCGCCGCGCTGCTGCGAGGTAACTGTACACCGTCAGTTGTTGCTGTGCTCATGTACGGCAGTGGCACCTGGCGCTGTACCACCTGCCTTCCACGCTGCATTCTGCTCTATAGGCTGAATCTCAACATCAGCGCAAGTAAAAGTATAGATTGCGCATATGTACGCTCACGCACGAAAATATTACCACACAAAATTGTAATAATATTCAATACTTTTAACTCAATTAAAAAAGCTTACAGTTGCCTGTAATACATGAATAGATTTTGTAATCATTTTCTTTACATAAAAATTGCTTAAAAACTTACTCAATTCAGCGCACCACACCTCTCACACACGAGGCGGACTTGAAAAAACAAGGAGATTTTTATCGCTTAGATAAAACTAAGAATATAAATGTATTAGACACTCCTATTTTAATTGCATCACTTTTGCTACAGACATAATCTCTTTCTTTTTGAACTACTATTTCGCTCCTATACACAAATCGAGATTAATATAATGTATAAAATATATAATTTATTTTAAAGCCAGCACCGTTGATGGACAACTAAATGGTAAAGGTATGTGTTTAGTCTTCTCGAAAAAACAAAACTATATGTATCTACTATGTATCAATGACAGTGTTGATTATATTCCACGTCATCATCATCATCATCATCACAGCCCTTCACAAGTCCACTGCTGAACATGGGCCTCCCCCAAGGTATGCCACAAAGCACGGCTTTTTCCCCAACGGTTGTCGGTTTTTCGAGCTATATGGCCGGCCCATTGCCACTTCAGCTTACTAATCCGTTGGGCTATATCGGTCACTCTGGTTCTACTGCGGATATCCTCGTTTCTAAGTTTATCACGCAGAGAAACTCCGAGCATAGCCCTCTCCATAGCTCGCTGAGCGACTTTGAGCGTCGTCATACGGCCAACAGTGAAGGTCCACGCCTCGGTTCCGTAGGTCATCACTGGCAACACGCACTGGTTGTACAGCTTAGTTTTCAGGTTTTGAGGTATACCTGACGAGAAGATGTGTCGTAATTTCCCGAACGCTGCCCAACCGAGTTGAATCCGTCGATTGACCTCTCGATCGAAGTTGGACTTACCTAGTCGGACTATTTGTCCCAGGTAAACGTACTCGTTAACAACTTCGAGCTTAGTGCTCCCAACAACTACTGGCATAGGTGTGACATGGACATTAAACATGATCTTTGTTTTGTCCATGTTCATCTTAAGACCTATCTGTTGGGAGGCACTGTTGAGGTTATTGAGCAGAGGGCTTAAGTTCTCCAGCGATTCTGCCATAGGGACTAACTATATCGTCGGCAAATCGAAGGTGAGTGATGTACTCGCCTTTGACGTTAATACCGTATCATTTCCAGTCCAGTAGCTTGAAAACGTCTTCCAATGCAGCGGTGAAGAGTTTCGGGGGAAATAACATCACCCTGTCTTACACCCCTCTGCAGTTGCATAGGTTTCGTACTATGGTTCTGTACTCGGATAGCCATCGTAGCCCTACTGTACAAACACTTCAGCACTTCGATATACCGACATTCAACTTGGCACCGCTGAAGAGACTGTAGCACCGCCCAAATTTCGACGGAATCAAAGGCTTTCTCATAGACCACATACGCCAGGCAAAGTGGCAGATTGTACTCTTCGGACTTCTGTACAATTTGCCGAAGGGTATGTATGTGGTCTATGGTACTAAAGCCTTTTCGGAAACCGGCTTGTTCGGGAGGCTGGAAGTCGTCGAGTCTACGAGCGAGACGATTCGTAATGACTCTCGAAAACAGCACGTAGACGCGGCTCAGAAGGGAAATCGGTCTGTAATTCTTCAAGAGGGCGTTGTCACCTTTCTTGAAGATCAAGACCACCGCACTTCTGCTCTACGCCTCCAGAGTAGTGCTACCATGGAGGACGGAATTAAAGAGCCTCTGAAGGACTTCAAGTACCGGTTTTCCACCCGCTTTCAGAAGCTCCGCTGTAATTCCATCCACGCCTGGGGCCCTGCCGTTATTAAGGTGCTGGAGAGGCATTCTAATCTCGCTCAGACTGACGTCCGGGATATCATCGGAATAGTTATAATATATTCCACGTATAAATGTTAAAAGTTGCATCTCTGTTATACATATTTTTGAAAACTAATGTAATTACGCGTGTAAGGATGATTAAAGGTATAATAAATAGGTTAAGTTTTGAGGGTAAAGAAGCTTGCGACCATAGGACTAAAATTTTATTTCTCTGCACGTGCCCTCTGGAAACGATAAAGGAAAAATATCGTCAAGCTGGATTAAATGTGTCCCAAGATAGTGGTTGGTGTGTGGACGGTTATCACGCATGAGCGCTCCGGTTGTGATGCATTTCATTGCATATCAAGAATAGCAATGCTCGCCCTTAGTACTGCGCTAATGCTGAAGGGCAAACATATTAATGTAAACTATATTTTATCTGGGATTACATTCGTCATTGAATGAAATAATTTTTTTAAACGTTAGCGACACCTGCACATTATTAACTCTGCTAATTTACAAACAAGGCTCTGCCGACCGATAGAAGGTTGGTCAAATCGTACCAGACTACGAAACGATGACGTCTCAATATGCCATATTTATAATAAATACCCCTATTTTTTAGGGTCTTAAAAACACAAGAAATACCTTAGTAGCCACAAAAAAGTTATCCATTTATTTTTGTTATTGTAACTGTTTCGAAATTATTTCAAAAAATATTTTCAGAACGCACCGATGGTGTTTACAACATAAAAACAAACCAATATAACTTTAGTTTGTTCTGGGACATTAAAAAAAAGGCTAATGCGGCTCCTATAGAAATTTGCCCATTGACCTTTGACAGTATATTTAAGCTTTTTGAAAATGCCGAACCCAAATATTCTTCATAATCAGCTTGTAAGTTCACTGCTGGATAAGGGTGTGTCCAGTTGCAGGGAGGGTTATCATAAGCGGAACGCCTGGCAGGCGGATTGACAATCGCAATCAGCAGACGTCTTGGACCTTCGACGCTCCTTTCCGTTGCCGGGTTGGATACTTTACTTCTAGAGTTATCGAGATGGTTGTACCGCCATCTTCTGGATTCCATAACATCTCTCTGGTATTTCCCGTAGTTGCCTCTTACCACAATTTTACATACTGGTGGTTTAAAATAAAAATAGCATTATTAACCATATCGATCCTACATTCACTAACTTAACTGTCCAACGTAATCAGTATTCCAATATACATACTTACATGTATGTATTATGTTAACAAATATCAAGAAACCTCTGATACGGAAGTTCTTCCCTTCCCCTTCATACTTCTGTTTACAAGACGGACATCCAGAGTTTACATGTTACGAAAACTCGAAGAAAAATATTTAAGTCGTTTTTAGTGCACGTTGTAAAGGATTGTACTTTGTCGCCGTTAAAATACCCCATGTTCAATTTTAAGCAAACGTGACTTCCATCTTGGATCCCAGACAAAGGAACCATAAATAAATAAAATATTACTGTCCTGACAAAAACACTAACCAGCTTCCTTTTAGTAACTTTGTTGATTAATGTTATAATATCTGTTTCAGGCATGAACGGTAACGGTGCTTCAAACGGAACATACTCTCCCATGCGTGTTTATCACGAAGAACGTTCAAGGAAGGGTCACTTCCGTTATTGAGTCAATTAACTTTAATTCACTTTATACATTACAATTTATATAAGTACAGAATTATTGTGATAATTCATACTATTTTACTAAAACTTCTGATTAAATCAGTTTTTGTTTTGTATTGAGTTAATTTAAATGCCTTCTTTGCATTTTATGAGCTAATAATTATTGTGTAAGTTTATTTTAAATAAATGAATGGCCTCTAAATCTAAATGGCATTATTGAATCCACCTTTTTTAACGAACCATATCGACTGCTTCATTAATTACAGCGTATGATTAAACATTCAGGCAAAATAATTTTATGAAACAGAGAAAAAGCTGCTGCCATTAAACTATATCTATTTTTATATTCTTTGTTCGCGTGGAAATAGCACTTTTAACATTTTAAGTGATAATAATTTATTTGTACTTTTAATTCTCATAAATACCTAGAAAGGCACTATTCTGGATAAAATCGTTCAATTAGTTACTCAAACTAACGAATGAACTAACAGACGGACTCACAAACGAACCAGCAAACAGAAGCGCTTCTATTTCATATCGTAAATAAGCATCAAAATGGTCGCTATATTTTCTATCTATACATATAAAATGTTTTATCCTGAATGACTGACTGACTGACAGATCAACGCACAGCCTAAACCGCTGATCGTAGATACCTGAAACTTGGAGATTGTGATCTTTGTATGACGTAGGCATCCGATAAGAAAAGATTTTCCGAAATTCTACACATAAGGGGGTGAAAATCTGAGGCAAAGTTTGTATGGGACAACGTGATTCCTTGGTCCTATCTACTTCAAATTTTGTATAAACATTATCAGAATTGATGGAAGACATGTTTCGTATTTTGTTGAAACTCATCGCCTAACGGTGTTAAAAAGGGTTAGAAAGTTATTTTGGGGGTGATTTGCATTGAAGTTGATATAAACTCTTTAGCGCTTTTGATTTAAATTACATTTTATTTTGACAAATGTTTGAAAACTCATGCAATACTCTTTAAAATTGGAATGTCAAATATAAAAGAATGTTTAAATCGGATTACAATTCGAAATTTTATTTGTTCTTGGATTATTGGAATGAAAAACCTTATAGGTACCTTGATTTTACTCCGAAAATTCCTTGGAAATTCTCATAAATTACCTATCTACTTAGCGAATATTTGCGGTTGCTGTGTAATTTATTTGGAAGTTCATTTTCACCTTTTCTAATTTTTAATAAAACCTATAATTAATGTAACATGTAACAGTTAAATATATATATATATATATATATATATATATATATATATATATATATATATATATATATATATATATATAATAAATTAAAAAATGATAAAAATATTTTATAGGCTAAGCAACACTCATATATTATTGCTCAGTATTATTACTTGTATTGACATTTAGCTTTCGTATTATTTTACAAAGAAATACATCAGAAAATTATGTGCGTATTTATGAAAAGTGATGTTCTTATCCTTATCTTTTTTCCAAGATATAAAATTTTTACATGATTTTAAAGCACAAACAGTCATTTTGCGAAATTAAAAACATCGGTGCGTGACGTATGTTTGCAGTGAACTCATATGGGGGATTTTTTGCCATAGTTGCCACGCTTCGCAAGCGGGTTGGTAACCGTAGTTTTTTTTTAGTCTTTATTAGGAAGATGGTGCTGGCGATCTCCTGATTTGTTTCCCTCTGCGCTACTTACGACATCTACGTGGCATGTGGGGTATTAGATATTGGGTATGTTCCAAAATAGAACCCAGTGTACTGTCCAATGCAAATGACGTCATGAATCGATGCCATACTGGTGATTTGTTCCAAAACATAGGACAGTATATGACGTCATACATTTGGGTTATATTGGAAAAGTGTTGGCGATTATTTTATCATTTGTGCTTCAAAAATCATTATATTCTCCTAATGGAAATACCAGCAATTATTCTATAATTGTTTGTATTTGAATAAATAAAAACTGATTCTGTCATGCTTCATTCAGCGTACACACAATTAAAAATTGTTTTAATATGGCCGGATATCCGACACATTTAGCGGCGGCACGCTAGTACAATTTGGCGTCATTTGATGACGTCATTTGCATTCGGCAGTATACTGGAAACGTTTCGGAACATACCCTATATTATACAGCCACTACTCAGCGAAGTGCTCAACGGAACCCTATCACTAAGTCTACCTGTCTCTTTGTCGCAGGGCTATCACTTTTTAATTATGAGTAACTTTAATGGTTACTTTAATGGCAAATAATGAAACGAATCATCATTACAGCCCTTCACAAGTCCACTGCTGAACATAGGCCTGATGAAACGAATAAAATGTTAAAACCCAAGAGGGTTTTAACATTTTATCATTTTATATAAGAAATCTCGAAAAAAAATGAATTTTCCAACGATTTTTTCTTCTTGTACCTTAAAAATGTAATACCCACTACTACCACTGAATCTATCAATTTTATTCTAATTATCACTATAAAAATACTACACACTCTATACTTAAATAACAAATAATGAAAACAAGATAAACAGTGATAGACTTGGTGGCACCGAACCCAAGGAGATGGATTATTGTGCATGCAGGTTCAGAAAATGGATTTTTGAACGGTGCTGAGTTGATTTTTAAGACAAAAACCAAAAACGGCGATTACCATGATAAAATGAATAGGCAAAATTGTACTAAATATACTGAGGAAAAATTGATCCCAAACATACTTCCAAATAGCATCGTGGCTGAATAGCAATTGTGAAAGCGATAGCTGCTCCGATTCTAACAATGCTTATGAAGAAAACGATAGGATGTCCGGAATCAAAGTGTTCTCGGACGATTCTGGAAAAGGTTCAAGTAGCAGAATTTAATTTTCAAAGACTACTATATGTAAAAAATTTATGTCTACAGAGTTTCTTGCCTGTCTGTCCTATTAGAAATCATTTATTTTTCTTGACGTTTATTTAAATTAACCACTAAATCCCAAGCGGTCGCATGCGAACGTCGCCCTATACCGTCAATTACCAAGCGGTTGCATGCGACCGCACCCGCCAACAGCACTTTAAACCATAAAAAACTTATATTTAGAGACTACTTTTCTATGAAGAAGTTTGGCATTATAGAATCTATACGAAACTTTCTATCCTGTGTTCTAAACAAAAGTTAGTTACTCTATGTATTTTTATTTTTATTCTACTGTCGATTTGCATCATTTGCCAACCATACGAAAATGGCGCAATTTATTTTCTATACTTATAAATATTTGAAATATTTATAAGCATAGATTTATTTATCTATACTTATAAATAAGCGAAGCCAGTACGGGTTTATGGTTATAAATGTTATTTTAAAATTAATGTGTCGACCTGTTTATACAGTTCTATTCAAATATTTTCCCATTAATAAAAAATTTCCAACTAACCAAATAATATACCTAACGTTTTAATTAATATAATAGCGACATACGGTTATTAACGGGTTTTCGTTATTTGTATTGTGCATGTTGACGGTACGGGCTTGATGAGACGCCATTTAAAATCCCATTCTTTATCCGTACTGGCTTTGTATCTAATTGGTTATTGGGTTTTTCTATCAAGAAATTCTCAGTAACAGTAACAGGGCTGCTACTGTGAATTTCTTCTCTTTCTTCTCTCACTCAGTTCAAAAATTTGGCAGTGTTTTACCTCCTTGCCTCGGAAAAGCAGGTAATTCCGCTGGTCCTGCGCTTGATCTCTCTCCGGTCGTGTCGGATTGTCGTCTCATTGGACTGTAAAATTGAGGGAATAGAGAATGCACCTATGCTGGCGCATACACTCGTGCACTATAATCCCGTTCTGTTTAAAGCCTTCATCGAGAGTGGCCGCGGTGACTTATATTCGGTCCGGAGGACGTTATACCAACAACAACAATTATTTTATATATATATATATATATATATATAAATAAAAGCCGGCCGTATGAGGACGCTCAAGGTCGCTCAGCGAGCTATGTAGAGGGCTATGCTCGGAGTTTCACTGCGTGATAGACTCAGAAATGAGGATATCCGCAGTGAAACCAGAGTGACCGACATAGCCCAACGGATTAGTAAGCTGAAGTGGCAATGGGCCGGCCATATAGCTCGAAGAACCGATAACCGATGGGGAAGAAAGGTTCTCGAGTGGCAGCCTCGTACCGGTAGGCGTAGTGTAGGGCGACCCCCCATTAGATGGAGTGACGACCTGGTAAGACATGCAGGAAGTCGATGGGTGCAGGTGGCTCAGGACCGTGCTTTGTGGCATTACTTGGGGGAGGCCTATGTTCAGCAGTGGACTTGTGAAGGGCTGTAATGATGATGATGATGATGATGATATATATATATATATATATATATATATATATATGAATATATATATGTTATACCGACAAGAATCTCTTCTAGGTCAACAGTTGTGTAAAGCTGCAATTTGCTGCAACGTGCAACGCGCAACGTGGTTAACCAACAAAAAAAAATACAGCGGAAAACTATTTCAATGTTGCGTGTGTCAGCTGGCCTGCGATTCGAATACCTAACTTTGAGCACGTTAAAAAGGTAATAAGCTTAGTAAATAGTTTTGTTGCATATAATTTAAGTATAAATAGACAATTGTAATCAGTTAATATCGAATATTGTAGTAATAAACTTCTTACTGTAACTCTGTCCAAATAAATAAAATATATTTTTTTATTGAAGTCTGATTCATTATCTTAATTCGCGCGACTTCGTTCGCGTACAATTTCTGATTTCCAATGAATTTATGAAATTTTACATAACATAACATAAACACTCACGCCTGTCACCCAGAGGGATAGGCAGAGACTACAGACTTCCATTTGGCACGATCCTGACACACCTCTCTCGCCTCCTTCACATCCTACGCATGCATGCTCGTCGGTTAAGGGTACTCCTAATTTGGCCCGTTTGCAATAAATCGCCAATTTGGTCGATAAATTTTCGCCTAGGACGTCCCTTTCCGACTCTACCATTCAC